TCCTGCCTCAGCTTCCCAAAGCACTGTCATTAAAGGCATGAGACACTGTGCCTGGCTGCATTATGTTTTTAAAAAAACAACGTATATACTTTAATTTAAAAATACATATTGCTAAAGAATACTAATGATCATCTGAGCGTTCAGTGAATTGTTTTCTTTTGTTGGTAGAGGCTCTTGCCTATGGTGCCTGATTGATCAGGGAGGTGGTTGCTGAAGGTTGGAGTGCCTGCAGCAATTTCTTAAAATAAGAGCAATGAAGTTTGCTACATAAATTTACTCTTCCTTTAATGAAAGCTTTTTCTGGAGCATGTGTTGCTCTTTGATAGAATTTTACCCACAGTAGAACTTTGAAAACTGGAGTCAGTCCTCTCAGACCCTGCCACTGCTTTATCAAGTAAGTTCATATAATATTTCAAATTGTTCGTTGTCATTTCATCAGTGTTTACAGGATCTTTACTAGGAGTAGATTCCATCTCAAGAAACCACTTTCTTTGTTTATCTGTAAGAAGCCAGTCTGAGGCCAGGTACAGTGGCTTATGCCAGTAATCTCAACACTTTGGGAGGTCAAGGCAAGTGGATCACTTGAGCTCAGGAGTTTGAGACCAGCCTGGGTAACATGACAAAACCCCGTCTACAAAAAAAAATACATGGTGGCACACGCCTGTAGTGCCAGCTACTCAAGAGGCTGAAGTGGGAGGAATGCTTGAGCACAAGAAGTTGAGACTGCAGTGAGCCATGATCGTGCCACTGCACTCCAGCCTGACGACAGCAAGACCCTGTCTCAGTTAATCAATAAAACAAGCAAGCAAGCCACTCTTCATCCATTCAAGGTTTATCATGAGAATGCAGCGACTCAGTCACATCTTCAGGCCTCACTTTTAGTTCTAGTTCTCTTGCTCTTTCTACTGAAGTCTTGAACTGAACCTCTCAAAGTCACCCATGAGGGTTGGAATTAACTTCTTCCAAACTCCTGTTAGTTCTTTATGGCATCTAGAATGGTGAATTCTTTCCAAAAGGTTTTCAATTTACTTTGCTCCAGTCCACCAGAGGAATTGCTATCAATGGCAGCTATAGCCTTAAAAAATATATTGCTTAAATAGTAAGACTTAATAGTTGAAATCACTCCTTGATCCATAGAACTGCAAAAGGAATGTTGTTAGTAGGCATGAAGACAACATTAATCTCCTTGTATATCATCAGTGCTCTTAGGTGACCAAGTGCGCTGTCAATGAGCAGTAATATTTTGAAAGGAATCTTTTTTTTCTGAACAGTAGTTCTCAAATGTGGGCTGAAAATATTCAGTAAACCATGCTATAAACAGATGTGTTGTCATCCAGGCTTTGTTGTTCCATCAATAAGCAGATGTACTGTCAAGTCTTTGAGCATAGGCAGACAGTAGATTCAGCAAAAAAAAAATTGTTTTTTGAGACAGGGTCTTGCTCTATCACCTAGGCTGGAGTGCAGTGGCATGATCATAGCTCACTGCAGCCTCCAACTTCTGGGCTCAAGCAATCCTTCCACCTCAGCCTCTGGAGTAGCTGGGACTACAGGCATGTGCCACCACACCCAATTAATTTTTACATTTTTTTGTGGAGGTGGGGTCTCACTATGATGCTCAGGCTCTTCTTGAGCTCCTTGCCTCAGGTTGTCCTCTAGCCTCAAGCTAGCCTCTGCCTCAGCCTCCTAAAGGGCTGGGAGATTCAGCATAATTCTTATGGGCTCTAGGACAAATGAGTGAGTATAGGATTCAACTTAAAGCCACCAGTTGCATTTGCCCCTAATACGAGAGATAGCCTGTCCTTTGAAGCTTTGAAGCCAGGAATTGACCTGCTATCTCTAGCTATGAAAACTGTAGGTGGCATTTTTTTTCCCAATAGAAGGCTGTTTCATCTACACTGAGAACCTGTGGTTTAGGTTAGAAACCCTCATCAGTTATCTTCTGGATAAGTTGCTGTAGCTTCTACACCAGCACTTTCTGCTTCACCTCGCATTTTATGATAAAAACATCTTCCCATAAACTTCTGCTAGGTTCTGTGAAACAGCCTCTGCTAGCTTCGCACTTGTTCTGCAGCTTCCTCACAGTGACTCTCAGCCTTAATGGAATTGAAAAGAGTTAAGGTCTTACCCTGGATCAGGCTTTGGCTTGAGCTAATGTTGTAGCTGGTTTGGTCTTCTATCCAAACCACTAACACTTTCTTCACATTAGCAATAAGGCTGTTTCACTTTCTTATGATTTGTGTGTTTAATGTAGTAGCACTCTGAATTTCCTTCAAGAGCTTTTTCTTTGCGTTCATAGGTTGGCTGTTTGGCACAAGAGGCCTAGCTTTAGGCCTGTCTTTGCTTTCGACATGCTTTCCTTAATAAGTTAATCACCTTTTTTTTTTTTTTTTTTTTTTTTTTGAGATGGAGTCTCACTGTGTCACCAGACTGGAATGCAGTGGCGGGATCTCTGCTCACTGCAACCTCTTCCTCTCGGGTTCTAGTGATTCTCCTGCCTCAGCCTTCCCAGTAGCTGGGACTATAGGTGCGTGCCACTGCACCTGGCTAATTTTTGTACTTTTTAGTGGAGAAGGGGTTTTACCGTGCTGGCCAGGGTGGTGTCAATCTCTTGACCTAATGATCCGCCTACCTCGGCCTCCCAAAGCTCTGGGATTACAGGCGTGAGCCACCATGCCCAGCCCACTCTTTAGCTTTTGATTTAAAGTGAGAGAGGTGATATTTTCTTTCATTTGAACACTTAGAGGCCATTGGAGGGTTATTAATTGGCCTAATTTCAATATTGTTATGTCTCAGGGAATAGGGAGGCCTGAGGAGAGGAAGAGAGTTGGAGGGACAGCTGGTTAGTGGAGCAGTCAGAACATACATATTTATCAATTAAATTTGCCATTTTATGTTGGTGTGCTTTGTGACATCCCAAAATAATTACAGGAGTAACATCAAAGATCACTAATGACAGATCACCACACAGATATAATAAGTTTGAAATATTTCAAAAATGAAATATTGTAATACAAAGACATGAAGTGACCATGTACTGTTGGAAAAGTGGCACCAATAGATTTGCTCAAGCAGGGTTGCCACAGGCCTTCAATTTGTAAATAATGCAGTATTTGTAAAGCACAATGAAGTGAAACCCAGTAAAATGAGGTATACCTGTACAGTTGAATAGTCTGCCTCCATGCAAGATATTATAGTTATTTTTTCTCTGTATATTTTTCCAGAGATATTTTTAAAATGCAGATACTGTATATATATTTATTACAAAACCTACCTTAAACACTTTTGGTTTCTTGTTTGTTCCTCCATAAGTGTAAACATGCCCTTTGTTCATCAGATAAATTTCAAATGATTTTTTTCCCTATTTTTCTTTCGATTTCTTCATGGCAAGAGCACTATGTACACATAGAAATGATAAATATATGTAGTGGTGAATATCCTAAATAGCCTGACTTGATCATTACACATTCTATGCCTGTAAGAAAATGTCACATGTACCCCATAAATATGTACAAATATGTACCAAAAAAATCCAACTGTGACATTTCTGAGTTTTAGTTGGAAATGCCGTCCCTAGTTATTATCAGTTACTCAAGGATTCCTACATGTTTTCAGGGACCCTTTTATCATTTCAATCTTTGATACATTTGAGATTTATCCTGACATAAGATACCAGATATGAATACAACTTAGTTTTTCCTGATCACTGTTTAATCAGACTAACACCATTTAATGAATAAGCCTTTCCTGTTGAAAATCCCATTATCACATATTAAATTCCCACATGTTTGATTCCAAAATACGTTTTAATATCTGGTAGGATGGCAAGGTTAGTTCTACCTTATTAATCTTACTTTAACTTTTCTTGGCTCTTTTAAGATATATATATATAAACTTCAGAGTTGGCTTTTGGTTAAAAAAAAATTGTTAGGGCCGGGCATGGTAACTTACACCCGTAATCTCAACACTTCGGGAAGCTGAGGCGGGTGGATCACTTGAGGAGGTCAGGAGTTTGAGACCAGCCTGGCCAACATGGTAAAACCCCACCTCTACTAGAAATACAAAAATTAGCCAGATGTGGTGTCTCGAGCCTGTAATCCCAGCTACTCAAGAGGCTGAGGCACGACAATCACTTGAACCCTGGAGGCAGGGGTTGCAGTGAGCCAAGATCCTGACACTTCATTTCAGCCTGGGCAACAGAGTGAGACATCATCAAAAAAAAAAGTTGATATTTTTATTATAATCTCACTTTAGTTGTAGATTAATTTAAGTAAAATTGATATGTTGAATCTTCTTTGAGAACATAGGTGTGTCTTAGGAATGTCTTAAAGATATCTTTTTATATATCTTTTACATATTTAGCTTATTTTCGTGCTTTCAGGGGTTACATTTTATAAATAGGGGTCTTTCATTACATTTTCTAACCAGTTATTTGTGTTTAGAAAGCTTATTTTCTGTTTACTAATTTGTATTCAAATGCCATGTCATCTATTTTATTATTTGTATTTGTTTTTAATTTTGTTTTCCAGTGTACAAGTATTATCTTCAGAGTATTAATGTTATCTCCATCTTTTCAAATTATTATACTTCTAATTTCTTTTCAATTACATTTGCTAGGAACTCCAGAATATTAGATAATAATAATATAAAAGACATTGTGATAAAATATTTTTGTGAAACCTTCTTATATTTTAAAAGAAGTGCTTTTTCAGTTCTCTTCTTTAAACTTGAAACTAATTCCTGGTAGGTTGAGGTAGATAGTTTTATCATATTGGAAATATTCATCTATCCCTATATTACAAAGTGTTTTCATCAGCAGTGGATGTTAAATTTGTAAAGTGCCTTTTCAGCATCCATTGATATGACTGGGATTTTTTTCTTCTCAACTCTATTAGAATGAATTACCTAAGTAGATTTCATCTTTAGCCACCCTGTGTTGCTGGGATAAATCTCACGTGGTCAAGGAGTATTAGTTTGTAATATTCACTGCTTTTTTTTGACAGGTGTATCATATTCATTCTGATAGCTATGAGACACAAAACCAGCATTATGGAAGAAGCTTAACAAAAGAAACTATAAAGGATGGTAAGGATTTAAAAAACTAATTTATGATTGAACAGTTAACAAAATAATTCTAAGGTTATTTCAGTTTTAGTTCTCATTTGGAGAAGCGATTTGATTCATAATATACTTTAAAAAAAATACTGAAACTTAGATTTACAGAATTGGATTAATCTTAATCCCTGTTTCATAATACATTAAGACCATGGCCCATGAATGACCCTCTGTTACATTTTCATTTCTTTCTTATTAATGTACTGAAAAAAATAATGAACAGCTGTGAACCAAATGTCTAGCTCAATACTGGAACTAGAGGTTGTTGTTAAAATTATTTTGTAAGTAAAGGTTATAGATCATAGTATTATTAAAACTGTTCGTTACCTAAGAGACTTTGAAATATGTGTTGTAGCATGTACTGTTATCTTTATTGAATTTTCCCATGTGTAGTTGAGTTATGTAAGTTTCTAGAGCTACATAATGATTAACTAAGTGGCATTAAATTGGTAAGTCTGTTAACATACATATATGCTTCTAAAATATTTATGGCCAAGATATTACAAAAGCAACAATATCCTAGATTCCTAGAAATAACATTATATTACAAGTTTATTCTTAGCTCTACTAAGATAGAGAAGAACTTAGGCGTAGTGTAAAAAATGTATAGAATAATTCTTATTTTATGTATAGAAAGCAAGCATCCATAGCATGAGCTTAACAATTAGTATTTGCCTTGGAGTACTTAATCAATAGCAAAATAACTTTCAGATAGGCTATTTAAAAAATATTTTCTCAGGCTAATAATTTAGTCCAACTGAATATATCTTTTATTAGTTTCTGTCCCAAATTGGGGAAACATGTTGTTTAAAAGCAGAAAGCAAATTCTCAAGTATGATAAAATAGGCATAGTTTTAAAAATGGCCTGATAATCTGATTAGGTTATTATTAGGTTAAAATTATTAGGTTAAAACATTTAAAGGTCTCAATTTTCAATAGCATCCCTAACCTGGGAAAGTGCTATTCGCAAAAGTGAGCTTAACTTTTTTGAAAAATGGACTTAATCAATATTATTGAGAGCAAATGAAAATTAGTAGAGTCATGGTTTTGTATTTGGTAATGGTAGTATTAAAAAATAACTAAATTTGACTCTAGGTTTTAGTTAACTCTAAATGAGACTCTAACGAGTATTTGTTTTAAAAGACAGTCTCGCTCTTTCAGCCAGGCTGGAGTGCAGTAGCATGATCTTGGCTCGCTGCAACCTCCACCTCCCAGGTTCAGGTGATTCTTGTGTCTCAGGCTTCCCAGTAGCTGGGAATACAGGCATGTACCACCATGGGTAATTTTTGTATTTTAGTACAGACAAGGTTTTACCATGTTGTCCCGGCTGGTCTTGAATGCCTAATCTCAAGTGATCCACCTGCCTTAGCCTCCAAAAGTGCTGGGATTATAGGAATGAGCCACTGCACCCAGCCTGAACCATTAATTTTACTGTGAAATTCCTCACAATAGCAGATAGAGCAAGTCTTGGAAACCTATTTCTTAAGAGAATATAGTGAAAGAGGTAAACTACCAGTCTACCTGTAATAAATTTCTTTTTGTCTGAATAGGATACTTCATATGACATTAGTGTCATTTAAATGTTTTGTAATAAGAGCATCTTCAGCAGAAATTAAGCATATTTCTATATCTGACTAGAATTCCTAGAATTCTAAGATTAACTGTTCACTTAATTATAAGGGATGATGGGGAAAATATTGGAGAATTCCGTCTGTGATGAGTCTACTTCCCAAATAATAGTTATTTCATAATTTAATTATAATGCTCACATTTTTCTTTTTATAGGAGTCTCTAGATTTTTTCATAATGGGTACTGCTTAAGAAAAGATGCTGTTGCTGCCAGTATTCAGAAGATTGAGAAAATTCTGCAGTGGTTTGAAAACCAGAAGCAGCTTAACTTTTACGCAAGTTCATTACTGTTTGTTTATGAAGGTTCATCTCAGCCAACCACTACAAAACTGAATGACAGAACTTTGGCAGAAAAGTTTTTGTCCAAGGGACCACTGTCAGACACAGAAGTACTAGAGTACAATAATAACTTTCATGTGTTAAGTTCTACAGTGAATGGAAGAATAGAGTCTTCAGTAGGCAAAAGCTTGTCCAAGATGTATGCTCGTCACAGGAAAATGTATATTAAAAAGCATCACAGTCAGACTTCATTGAAAGTTGAAAATCTGGACCAAGACAATGGATGGAAAAGCATGTCACAGGAACACTTAAATGGAAATGTACTTTCCCAACTGGAAAAAGTTTTCTACCATCTTCCCACTGGTTGTCAAGAGATTGCTGAAGTAGAAGTGCGAATGATAGATTTTGCTCATGTGTTCCCTAGCAACACAGTAGATGAGGGATACGTTTATGGGCTAAAGCATTTAATTTCTGTACTTCAAAGTATTTTAGACAATTGAATCCTTTGTTGCAGTTTTTTTTAAGGGGTGGGCCAATCATAATGAAGAGCAGCAGTCAATATCTCTGCACCTGTAATGCTATGTAAAAATTTGTATTGTGAGTCAACATTTTCTTTGTCTTTCTACTTTTGGAAGAAAGGTTAACTTTTTTATAATCTTACTCAGGAAAACTAAGTATTTGTTTATTAGAAAACTATGAAGAATAAAGAAACTTAGGAACGTTAAGCAGGGAATGTGGTGGTACATGGCTTAAACATCTTTTTGGCTCAAGTAAAATGCAAACCATTATTCAGTCATGAAGAGTTTAGTTAGCTTTCTGTAGCCAATTCATGAAATCTCTGTTCACCCAACATTGACAACGAGCCATATCTAAACTATTACATTGTTAGAACACCTACCAAAATCTCGAAAGCACAGGTTGATGTCCTTAGTATTGCTGTGTATGAAGTTACTAAAACTGGAGAATATTTTACTCAGAAATAAGTACTGTTTAGGTTTTATATTAAAAGTTCAGACCAGCATATCAAAGGGTGCTTCTTAGTGAAATGATTTAGAATTGTTGCATTCCAAAAGCAGGTTTTCTCTTTGATTTTTTAAGTATTTGTCTCTCTCTCAAAATATTATACTTCATGAAAAAGACAATTGATGTGGATGACAACAACAACAAAAGTCTTGAAATTAAGGATACACTAATTGTTCTTACTGGGGTTAGGAGAAGAGAGATGTTATTTTCAAGAAACAAAAATTTTTTTTTTTTTTTGAGATGACGTCTAGCTCTGTCATCCAGGCTGGAGTGCGGTGGCATGATCTCAGCTCACTGCAACCTCCGCTTCCTGGGTTCAAGCAATTCTCTGCCTCAGCCTCCTGAGTAGCTGGGATTATAGGTGCCTGCCACCATGCCCAGCTAATGTTTTGGTATTTTTAATAGAGACAAGGTTTCACCATATTGGCCAGGCTGGTCTTGATCTCCTAACCTTGTGATCCACCCACCTTGTCCTCCCAAAGTACAGGGTTTACAGGTGTGAGCCACTGTGCCCAGCCAACAAAATATTTTTATTATCTTTCATTTATGAGAAAATTGGAATATAAATTTATCACATTGTGAAAAGTATCATAAAACATATACTTTTTTATATAAATGCAGCTTCAAAAAAGTAAATGAAGTTTTATTTCTCCTCTAACTTGAATTTTTTTGTTTAAAAATTTATGTATTTATATGTCTCCATTTAGTTAAGTGACAGTGTAAATGTATGTTGTTAAAAGCAGTTTCTCAGAATTATAGTAAGCCATGAAAAACAATATCTAATTAGGTTGTTATCAAAAATACTATGTGTAAATTAGTCTGTCATATAGGGTTTGGTGCATATCTAAATTCAGGCTTCTATTTCATTCTTATTCAAAACAGTTATATATCATGTTCAACAGTGAAATTATAATTTAATTTCATGGGGGCAGGGGCAGTGCTACAATTCCTGGAAGAATTAGATTTGTATTTCATACCCACCACCTTAAAAAAAACAACTAATTATTTGTCACTGAAAACATTTAAAACTTTGAGTCTTCAAATACATTTGATGTTAATGCTGTCATTACTTGCACTTTGATTCACTAATAACATTTCTAAGTAGTTAGCAGTTTTGTCATATTTCTACAAAATATCTTGGAGTTGTAAATTGTTTCTCCTCTTTTTCTTCTAGAGTTACAAATTGAATTTTTAAATCCAAGCACCTTTGTTGTGGTGTGGAGAAAAGTATCACAATTTTATGTTTATCTTACCTTCCCAACCCTCTCTTGGGGTACTTTGCAAATACCTGAGTCCAAACAGAAGTACCAAATAAATGCTTAATGAACTCTGTGCTTAGTAAATCTACTAAACCTGAATAACTAAAAGATAATGTGTGTTTTGTAATAGCAAAATTTGATTTTAATTTTTTATTTAGAATTGGTGTATTTTCCATAAGGACTTCCAATTTTTCTTTACTTTTCAAATGGATATTGGCTATAGTTTTATGTTTTAATGAGAGTGAATTTTAAGTCATAATTACTAATCAGAAAATTTTTAGTTTTACTTTTTTCTCTTACAGTACGGACTTTTGTTGTTATTTGGATAGTGGTTCAATAAATCTTAAGCTCAGATAATTAAACACTATTTTGAATCTTAGCAAGATACTGAGGCTTTTTTTGTATGGGATGATATCAGCTTATGTACAATGAATTTATTAAACTTAAGTATTATCAGATTTTTTGCACATTTTAGCTCAATAAAATCTGAATTAACTGTTAAAGTTTTTTTTTATCTGTATTTGGAAATATAATTTTGTAAAATCAGTGTCTTACCTTTTTGATACAATAGATCATGTTTTTTTTTTAATAAAGCAAGAAGTCCTTTTATCTGTCTTTTTTTCAGGGAAAGGATTAACATTTAATTCTGTTGGTTTACATTTGTTATCATTGTTACCCATTGCTCTTTTTATGTTGCTTTTTAAGTAAGCTTAGGTATAACAGAATAAGTATCTGTTTATCCAGCCTACATGTGACTATTTTAGTCAGTCTCAGTCACTTAATATTATGCTGAAATTGACCACTGTGGGGATGAATGATCACTATTCACCAAGTGTATTTGAACATGTAAATGTTTAAGAAATAAGTATAATACCGATATAGTTTGGGTTAATAGGATTCTCATACTTTTTTTCCCCTATGAAACATAAGTAATGATTTCAGTGTATTTCTTATGGAATGCACTCATTTAGAAAGGACTTTAAGAAATTGTGGATGTGAATAATACCTTTCTCTAATAAAAATTTAAATTGTATAATAGTTTTATAATAAAGTATTTACATTAATTGATATTTTAATATGGATGGACATTGCGTAGATTCAAGTAAATTAAAATCAATAATAAATGCTAAATATTTTATCTAAATAGTTTTTCAAGAAACAATTATGAAAATATGTATATTAAATGGCTCTAACATGGAGCTTGTGATATTTCAACTCAGTATTCATTGTTCTTTGTGTGTGTCTGGAAAGATTGTACTTACTTTTCCTCTTTACACTACAATTTGCTCTTAAGGGGCTCTAAACTGTGTTCAACTAAATAAGAACCTTTGTCTGTATTTCAATTGAGCATAATTTAGTATTTTATGATTTCCAAAATGATGTTCTATGTCTACCAAGTCTATGTATCAAATTTATAGCATCATTTAAGAAAAAAGGAATTTCCATAGATATTTCAGTTGCAATTTTTTGTTTCACGCAACTGGAAATACATTTGTTTCTAGGGTTCAGAATATTGTAGAGGATGTAGGATGAAAGAAAACAATAGAACAATGAAACAATTCTGTTTGTTAAATTACAGGAATTGTGTCCACTATGGTAAAGCATTGTCATCATTTTAGTACATTTTCTCTTAGTAGTTTGGCATTTTATGCTTTAAAACTTGATTTGCTTTTAAAATGGTTTACAATGCTTACCTTCTTTCTCCAGTGCCTTTAGTCTCGATTTGATATGCTTGTACCCTCAGTTATCCTTTCTATTACATATTTTTGATGTTTTCATAGCCTAGGAAACATCTATTCCTTTGTGATAAGTGTCAATCAGGTTATCTAAAGAGGTAACAATTATCTGTTAATGCTTTGGAAAAACAAGTAGGGTTGCCTTTGGAGGCCAGGCTTCTTAGATTATTCAAAAATAGTTCTTGGGTTTATGCCATGTGTTAAGCATTTTTAGCCCCCAGTATTACAACTGTGAACCAAACAGATAAGGCCCTAACCATTTTCAGTGTTCTGTTTAGATGGGCTGGGATTGGGGACTTAATTAAAATACAGATACAGAAAAATATGCACCTAAATAAGATAATAAGTATGGGGTTGAAATGAAGCAACTAACAATATTAGAGAAGTTAGAAGTAATATTTTGCTGTATTGTAACCTCTGTTAAACTTAAGTTTGGGTAGTAATTACAGATGGCATAAGAAAGCCTTAATTTTTCACTTTCCTTGCTGGCAAAGGTACATTTATTTAGACTGTCCATTTAAAGTAGTGTTTAACGGCAGGGCGCGGTGGCTCAAGCTTGTAATCCCAGCACTTTGGGAGGCCGAGGCGGGTGGATCACGAGGTCAAGAGATCGAGACCATCCTGGTCAACATGGTGAAACCCCGTCTCTACTAAAAATACAAAAAATTAGCTGGGCATGGTGGTGTGTGCCTGTAATCCCAACTACTCAGGAGGCTGAGGCAGGAGAATTGCCTGAACCCAGGAGGCGGAGGTTGCGGTGAGCCGAGATCGTGCCATTGCACTCCAGCCTGGGTAACAAGAGTGAAACTCCGTCTCAAAAAAATAATAATAATAATAATAATAAAGTAGTGTTTAACATAACATTACTGTGAAAAACATTCCATTATATATTCCCAAGCAAATGAGCTGCATCTTCTTTATTGTATTTTACGATTTAGTACAACAATTTTAGGCCTCAATCTTCTCTTCACATCACTGGTATTTTAAATTTGGCAATGAATATGAAATTACTTTTGATTTACAGACTGATTATATTATTATTTGAAAATGCATTAATAGGAAGATTTGGAGCCTCTTTTTTTTGAGTTAATATTTAAATTCTCATTATATATTTTAATAGCCTGTACTAAGTGAAAATAGTATTTATGCAAGTAAACAAATCACTATAGGCTTTCAAGACTTTAATTTTAAATTTTGTCATCATTGAGGTTTAAATTTTTTACCTGCTGTCCACTTAAGATATATATTAACGGTTTGTGAAGTGAAATAGTTTTAAGTACGATGTACCTGCGTATAAATGAAAATGGTGTGCACAAAGACACTTTATGGGAACTGTACTGGAAGATTTATGAAAGCATGTGAAATTGCACCTAAAATTGTGTTATTAGTGACTATAAGCAGCAATGCTAATCTTATTGTACTTGATGAATGAATGTATTTAGTCACAGTTACCTTGGTTTAAATGTATAAATGTCTTTAGGGTTTTTTTAAAAAATGTGTTTGTAATTTGTTCTATTGCGGGGATATGCTTGGACTGCAGGGGTTATTGTCAATGTGTGATTTGTGTTTTTATTTTATAGAATCATCTAATGTGATATACCAATTTTTATAAGTGATATTTACATAATTCTAATACCTGTATATTTGGCAACCTATTAAAATGTTTTGCATTGGGACTTTTTTTGTTAATTGTAACATGCTAACAAACATGGTGGTTTAAAAATAACTCATTCATTCAGCAAATATTTAAGTGCATGTTATATATCAAACTATAGAAATCATTGGGGAATCAAAGATGTCTAAGAAAGTGCATCAGTAGAAAGAAGCATACTTTCAGACAAATTGGGGAAGGGATATTTTTAAGTGTACACATTGGAAATGATCAAGTATGTAAACCATTTTGCATGGATATTTATTTTTTCTATCACATAAACTAAAATCTTTGGAGTCACCCTAGAAGGAGTGGGCTATAGAAACAAATTGATGTGGTTGTGAAAATACAATAAAGTAGGTAAGGTTTTTTTTTTTTTTTTGGCATGTATTTGAAATTTCAGAAATTAGTCACCAAGTTATTCTTTATTAGTTAAAAAGAGGGTACTGCTCAACACCTCTTTTTCCAGGCACTATATTTTGCTTTGGAGATTTTAAAAAGTTATAAAGGATTCAGTACCTATTATGAAGATATATACTGGCTGGAAGAGAGAAAAAAACATGTTGACGTGGGATAAAATAGTGGAAT